TTGTCCGATACTTCCATGCTCCCGATAACCAACAGCCAAAATAGAAAGGCTCTTTCAAGAACCGTCGATGACACCAACAGTAGCAGCAGCAGCAGCAGCAGGAGGAGGAGGAGGAGGAGTAGTAGTAGTAGTGGTCGTGGTGGTAGTAGCAGTAGTAGCAGCAGTAGCAGAATTATTATTATTAGTAGTAGTAGTAGTAGCAGCAGCAGCAGCAGTAGTTAGTAATAGTAACAGTGGTGTACCACCACCACCACCACCACCACCACCAACGATGAAATCAACAGTTACAGAGCAGGTAGTCATGATGCGAGTGTTGGTGCTAAGGCGGCACACGAGCAATTGTGTTGACATGGCTACAAGGACCAAGGCTGTTGCTACCTGAAAGGCAACGCTCAATAAGATCTACATGAACCTGATCACGAGGTCACCCTGTTAAAAAATCGGAATCGGAATAGTCCAGATTTTCTATGACGGCATGAGCATCAAGTTCTGAAAGGAGGCTCTTGGCCCAAACACAAATACAGCCAGAACACCTGCGAACCCTAAACACCGAAAACAAACATAAGACATAACCCGGCTGTCGGAAAAGAGCCGCCTTCGGGCAGAGCTTCTTGAGGAAGGTGGACAAGGAAACCTTCACCTTCGCTCATGACGTGTTTAGGGCTGATCCTGAGCCTCTTCGTTCCCAGAGGTTTGGATTGCAGGGGCGTAGGCCCCTAAACCCTAAACCTTAAACACTAAACCCTCTTAGATTTTGGGGCTAAGGCTTAGTGGTCTAGGGTTTTGAGTTAGGGCTTGAGGTTTGGAGCTTATAAGGTTTTGGGGTCATGCCCCCGACTGTAAACCATTCGTCTTCTGGGTTCTCTGGACTTTGACGTAACCAAGGAGAAAAAAGTATAGACTCCTTTAAGGAACAGGTCCAAAAAAAAGTATTCAAGTATGGTACTCCAGAACCCAGTTCTTGTTAAGGGATCTAAATTTTAAGTTACGATCATAGGGATTTACAATAAATAATATGGATTTCTTACTATAGTACCTTAAAGTAAACTCCTTAACAATAAGACATAATATGGTTTTCTTATTATCGTAACTTAAGTTAAACTCCTTAACAAGACCCCGGTCTTCCACCGAGTCACCCCGTTATGGCGCGCAACATCCATTTCATCGAGGGCTCGGTGGAGTTTCCCAATCCAGAACTTCCTGAGCCCAGGTTTTGTCGGTGCTGCGTTTTCGGGATTCGGGGCTTTGGGGGTTTTGGGGTTTGGGGTTGCGGGTTTTGGGTTCGGGCTTTGGGGTTTATTGTTGCGGGAATGGTGTGAAGGGGTTCAGGTTCCTAAACCCTAAACCCTAAACCCTAAACCCCTAAACCCTAAATTCAGTTGCTTCAGGAGACTAGGGGGCCCTAGACGGGTTGTTAGAGTAAGGGTTGGAAGTGCTAAACCTAAACCCTAAATGCTTTAGGGTTTAGGGTTTAGGGTTCAGGGCCCTAAATGGATCCTAAATCCTGCCAAAACCATATAATATTCCTACCCTTTTGCCCCAAATACCTACCTTTGCCCCCAAAAAATAATTAACCTACTTATGTTGTTAAGGACTAAACTTGTATAAGCAATTAGAAGAAGGATCCGCAAGAAGGCAGGTTTGATAGGGCTCGGCTCAGGTACACACAGAAACCTTGCATGGGATCTGTGCAGAAGTGCTACGGTGGATTCTCTTCCTGATCGACCATCTCTATGACTCTATGTCCAAATCAGGCTAGCACAGGTACTGTACGGGCCTGTTGACATTTAACGGCTTTGTAAGAGCTACAAGGATTACTAGAGTGGTTGCTGTAAGGGCTTAGTATAGGGGGTAATACATACAAACATGCATGCATGCATACACATGTTTATATATGTATATATATATAAAGTATTATACTACTTATACATGCAGCCACACACACACAAAAAAAAAAAAGCAACACCCACAACTCCTCGCAGAATGGCTGCAGACAGCGCACGGATCGATGGCGACACCAGCGATGCGCTCCGCATCTGCGTGGGAGATGTCGAAGGTTCCCTTGGAAGCGCCTTAGCTCGAGCCTTTTCGTGGTTTATATTTAGAATCTTATAACGTAATCCCAAAAAGGAACTACTTAGGGGCCTATGAGTAGAGTGTATAGTTGCGGGTTTAGGGTTTAGGGTTCTGGGTTTAGGCTTTGGGAATGTGAAAAGTTCCCTTTGGAGGCGTCTTGGCTTGAGGGGCGAAGAGCCTAGGCTTGTAGGGTTAAGGGTTTTAGGGCTGAAGGTTTTGGGTTTTGGGGTTGCGGTGCTTGCGACTTGGACCAGGGGCCGTCGGAAAGGCAAGCCGGATTTTTTTTGTAGGGTTTAGAGTGGTGCGTTGCTGCATAATTTCAGGCCAATAAAGAGTCTGATATGTGGGTACATGGACACCCTTATCCAACAGGTTATAATATAAAAGAATCCCCAAGCCCTTATAAACCCTTCTAGTGCCGTTAAAGAACCCAAAAGAAACCTCAAAGGAACGCGTAAATCCTACTTATGCCACGCTTAAACGAACCAGGGATTCGGTTGGAGGCCTTTTAGCGCTTAGGGATTAGGGTTTAGGATTGAGGATTTAGGGTTTAGGAGTTTAGGGTTTACCTGGGATCCAAAAACCTACCGGTTTAAGGGTTCTACCGTCTATGTAATTGGGGTCACATTGAGGATTGAGGGTTTTTGGGCCCTGGTTCCTGCGAGTTTGAAAGCAGTAGATGGAGGGATATAAACCCTAAACCCTAAACCCAAAACCCTAAATCCTCAACCCTAAACCCTAATCCCTAAGCCCTAAAAGGCCTGAAAGGCCGTATCCCCGAAGCCTAGGGTTAAGGGTTGAGAGGTAAAGGGATTTAGGGTACCAACCCTAAACCCTAAACCCTAAATCCCTAAACCCTAAACCCTAAGCCCTAGAGAGTTTAGGGTAGGGCCGTTTGGGGTCTGGGGGTTGATGGTTTAGAGATTCCGGGTTGAAGGTTTCCAGATCTGACTTTCTGGGGTTTGGGCATTCACAGAAACTCCCATGGTTTGCGATTTGGGTCTCACCTAGCTTATGGGCAATCAGGGTCTAGGCCGGTCTAGGGTTTAGGGGTTTAGTTTAGGGGTTTAGGAGTTTAGGGTGTAGGATGTTGGCCTCCTTTCAGCCTCTGTGTAAACCTCCAGCTCAGCACTTCTGCCTCTGCCCTGAACACAGGGAAACACGACCAGACTACCATTGTGCGGGACTGCAAAAACATACTTCAAAGACGGAAGTCTCGACCATGATACCGCAACACCCCCGAGCTGTGCCCTAAATCTTCAACCCACTTCGATCGAAAGCCGCGCTCAAATCCGACTGACTCGTTGGCTTCAGCACTTCTCGAAGCCAAGCCGCAATGTTGAAAAATCACATTCGCTTGTACCACCTCCTCACCTCACGCAATAGGTTAGGGGTATCAGGTTTGTGGCGTTTTAAGGATGTCGACAGTGCGTGGGAATACAAGTCCGTTCAGAGCGTATGCCTGGGTTTGGGGCTTAAGGTATAAAGCCCTGGGACTCCGAATCGAAATTTGGTTGCTATAACACGTCGGTTTTAATATTTGGTAAGAACGATCACTGGTAATAAGATTCGATAATCATGAAAGCTCATGTCTGAGGAGAGGCCAGAGAGACATAGCAGCCAGGGTTCAGGGTGGAAGGGGCAGAAAGGCGAGATGAGCTCGGGAGCGTTCACTGAAATAGTGGCAAGACTAAACTCGCCCTAACGGTGCATGCGCCCAGATAATCAGATAGTAGATACTTTGGCCCCAAAGTACCGAAATATGGAATAGTTTAAGGCCAAAGTGTATTCGGGCACATGAACCCTTTGGCAAGACTAAACTCATGGATTAAACCTTACCTGCAACTGCCCACCCTACAAACCGGAAGCAACACCGAGTCAGAGTCAATGAATGTAAAGGCCTTAATCATTAGAACAGGGCTTTCGACTCCTTTATGGTATATATACTTATAATAAGGAACCCCGAGGAATAAGATTGGTAAGAAAAGGTTCTATATCATGACTCCTGCGCGAGTCGGCAAACACTCTAATTAACTTGACTCAAATCCCGAAGCCCTATAGTGAAATCCAAATACCAAGAAGCCGCAATAGTTTCAGTGCCTACCCCTAAACCCTAAACCACTAAACCCCTAACCCCTAAACTCGAAATCGCTAAACCAAGGCAAAGTCGCGACATAAAAAGCTGCCGTCCAACGACGCAGCGGTTTCCTTGGGAGGGTGCAGGGTGTAGGTGTTTCGCGTTTAGGATTGAGTGGTTTAGGGTTTAGGGCACAAGCCCCCCCAAAATGATGATTCCAGAAAAGAAAACGTGAGCGAACCCAAAACCGTACCTATGGCAGCTTAGCTCCCAAACCCAAAACTGCCGGAATCGGTGCCGCCGGCTGCACGGAAAGTAGTGGGGCGACAGTAGTGGGGTAGAATGGCTCTCTAGGTTCAGGGTTTAGGGTGGGTTCCCCAGTTAACCTCTTGAAAATGTGTTTACCCCTTTTCCAAATTATTCGGTTTCCTTACAAAGGGATCTCAACATAAAAAGGGCAAAAGGGCACTACTCAAGAACCTATAGTTTTTAAGAAGGTGGTTGCGGCTTGGGGCTTGTGGTCAGAGTCTAGAGTCTTGCGTTCTTCTAGGGAATATGCGGCATGTGGAAAAGGCCGTTAGGAGCGCTAGTTGGTGTTCGAGTTGGGGGCCCAAGACTGCAGACCGATTCAGCGGACGAACATTTTAGTACATAATCACATTTTACTTTGCAGCGGGTCTCCTGTGAACTGCAGCGGGTCTCTTGCGAACTGGAAGCACCATCGCCTTGGAGGTGGCCATGGCTTTGGCCTTTGCCGTGGGCTTTGTCTTTGCCTTCACCTTGGTCTTCGACTTGGGCTTTGACCTGGGCTTTGCCCCAGCCTTAGCCCTCTTAGCTTGCGCCGTAACCTTCGCCTTCGCTGCGCGCGCACGGGCAGCTTCAGCCAAAGCCTGGGAAAGAATCTGGTCATCCTCCCAAGATCGGCCCAGCTGCTCTTTTACTCCCTCGCTGTCACCGCCGAAAGCTGGGCTTCCCCAAGTTACGACAGATCCATCAGCCCGAATAGCAGCAAAGGCTGCTTCGTTGGCCTGGATGCATGTGACGTTTTTCAGCTGCCCTTGCACCGCACCTGTGCAGCCTCCGTATCCACGCACGCCCCAAGCAACCACTGATCCATCCTCACGTAGAGCAGCGAAAGCATGCGAGGTGGCTTGGATGGCTTTGACATTCTGCAACTGGCTCTGAACAGCTCTTGCATCTGCCGCCCTCTTGTCTCCCCAGGTGACCACTGTCCCGTCGGAGCGTATTGCAGCGAATGCAAAAGATGAGGCCTGAATCTGCACAACATTCACCAGCTGATGCTGGACGAGCCGGCTGTCATCACGACCCAGCGGCCGGCCCCATGTCACCACGGTTCCATCCTTGCGAAGAGCAGCGAAAGCCAAGTCGTCGCCAACGCCACAGACCTGTATGCACGAAACCTCTCCCATGTCCCGGAGCTCAGCATCAGCTAGGCAACTAGACCTGCTCCAGCGTCCATAAGGTCCCCAGGCCGCGAGCTGCCCATCCTTGCTCACGGCCGCCAAGGAACTTCCGCAACCCTGAAAGTGATCCACACCTTGCAGCATGGTGTTGTATATCTCCGGTACCATCTCAATATTGGTATCAGGCGAAAAACCCCAGGACACCACGTGGCCACTTGCAGTAATCGCACTGAAACCATCTCCGCAGCCCTTAATGTGCACAACGTCTTTGAGCCAGCCTCGCACAGGTTGACTGCACCCGCCCAGGCCGCCATCCCCCCAAGTCACCACACTTCCGTCGGTGCGAAGGGCGGCAAAGGCATAGTCTGCTGCCTGGGCGTAGAGGCTTCGGGCTTCAAGAACTCAGGGTTCCGGATTTGGGTTTAATGTAAGGCCTTCAAGAATCATACAAGCGGGTTTGGTGGGGGTACATTCTAGTGTGACTAGGAAAACAAATAAATAAAAAATAAATAAATAAATAAATATAAATATATATATACATACACACAGATATTAAGGGGATGCTAAACTGCTAAACCCTCAAACCTAAACCCTAAACTTCCATACATCCTTCAATTCAGGATGATGCCTTAAATCAAGGGGTTGAGGGTTCCTTTCAGGGTTCTTTCGAAGGGATCTATAGGGCTTAGGTTTAAGGCCCAGACCTTCCAACATCTCTTAACTCGGGAAGATACCTTGAATCATACATTATATTGGGATCTTAAACAAATCTAGGGCATGTTCCTGAATTACCCGTGACCCCAAACCCTACAACATAGTAGGTTATGACCCCTTAAATAGAGGGTAGAACCCTGAAAACGGTAGGTTTTTGGATGCCCAGGTAAGGGATATTATATTGGAGGGTTGTCTTATGCACCCTATAGACCCTAAACTCTAAACCCTGTCTGTCTTTGAAGGCGTTGAAGCCTACGAGGTTTGGGTCGAGCTGCCTGGACGAGCCGCACATTGCGAAGTTGGTCACGCACCTGACTTAGGGCTGCCTGGATGGATTTTAACGTTTTTAGGGTTTGCTCGGTTTGCAGGGCTTACAGGGTTTATAGGGTTCATAGGGTTTATAGGGTTTAGGGTGTAGGGTATAACATCTTATTCCCTAAGGATCCATGTGACCCATGTGCGCAACTAGTATAAACTTTGGCGTTAAAGTCGTCCCTATATAGCGACTTGTGCCCCAAAGTATATACTATTTGGGTACATGGACACTTAGGGCTTCCTGGATGGATATTAAGGTTGACTGCAGGGCTTAGGCTTTAGGGTTCAGGGCAGGTTAGGGTTAGGGTCTCCCTGGACCCCAAATTACCTACCCCTAAAAAATAGATCCCCTAATTTGGGACCCTACACTACTAAGGGTACTTTAAAGGAACTCCCTTAGGGGATCTATTTTTTAGATCCGTCCGGTGGTCTGGGTTTAGGGTTCCATATTAGCATTTCTTTGTATAGGTCCATAAAACAAGTAGGTTATTTAGGGCTAAGGTTAGGGCTGAGGTAGTTTAGGGTTTGGGTTTGGGGTCACGCACCTCACTGCTGTCTCCGCCAACACCGGAATCACCCCAGGTATCCACAGACCCATCTTCTTTGATAGCCGCAAAGGCTTTTTTTGCTGCTTGGATCTGTCGCACATCACGAATTTCGATCGATTCAGGATTTGAGAACATATCTTCGCCTTCGAGAGGCTGGTCGCCCCATGAAACTACCACTCCGTCATCTCGGAGGGCAGCAAAATCTGCTTCGGCAGCCTGAATCTGCAGCACGTTATGCAATTGGCGTTGCACTGCACTGCTATCACCACCACTATCACAACAACCCCATGTCACGACGGAGCCGTCTGCCCGGATGAGAGCAAACGCTCGCGCAGATGCTGCCACGGCCACAGACTGTGTAACGGCCGTGATGGTGTCGCCATTCTGCAATCCAAATTGTGACAACGTGCCAGATCCGCCTAACAGCGCTCCAGATGCACTGATAATTTTCCCCAAAGGTGTTTGCAAAGCCCTCTGTGCCTTCTGCCGCAGGTCTGCCACAGTTGCATCTCCAGGCAGGGTAACTGTTGCGTGGGTGCCACTGAGAAGGGTCACTGTGACAGTAATAGACATGGCCCGCACAGAAGTAACGAACGTCACAACAAAGCAAAACCGAGGTTACCACACTCAGAGTTTGTGGGGCATAGTATGCTACATTAAGGGCATACTATGCAGCCCTCATAAGCCCCTACAAAACCCTTGTAAGAGACACCCAAAAATAAACGACTGATGATCAAATCCCATCAATACCCTAAGTTCTCTACTACAACATGTGCGACTACAGCCCTATAGTAAATCATGACTCACGGACGCTGTGCAAATTGGCTTCAAAGAGGGATCTAGGTTCAGAAGGGTTTGGGCCTGTGTAAGCGCTGAGAGTTGAGGTTTAGGGCTTCGGTAGGTTCTGAAGTGTTGTTGGGGTCGAGGCTTGCGGTTTCGGGTTCAGGGTTTTTTGTTTGTGTTGAAAGGGTGAGAATATATATATATATACATATAAAGATGTATACATATATACATGCATATGTATTTAGATAGAGATGTGTATATATACATAGTATATATAATATATCTAATTATATATATATATATATTATAAGTAATTAAGTAGGTATCGGGGCATGGGGTCTCGGATGGCACGAAACCTTGCCGCCTCCTCTCTGCAGCAGCCGGTCCCTACTCTTGCTCCGGGCAATGTCGCATGAGACACCAGATTTAGGGTTTAGGGTTTAGGGGATGTAGAAACTCCTCTCGCGCGGGCAGTTCCAGAAGATGTTAGATTCTCGTCACAGCAAGTAACCAAAGAGTTGCATTATGTGCACTTGTCACTAACTGTGCTATAAAATCGTCGGAAGTTGTGACTTCTACATGGCTTGAACCAAGGTTCAGGCCTGGGGGTTTTAAAACCCTGAACCCTGAAACCTAAACCCCTAAACCCTAAACCCCAAAACCCCAAAACCCTGAACCCCTAAACCCCTAAACCCTAAACCCTTTAAGGATCCCTTTAAGGAACCCTTTAAGGAACCCTAAACCCTGAACCCTAAGTCACAAAGTGCCTGGAAGATCTGGAGCTTCCAGTAGCCTAAAGGATCCATATAGTCTATTCATAGGCCTTTAAATAAGTATCTATATAGGAACCCCTTTGAGGCCTAAGTATCTACTATGAGGGTACATGGAGCCTTTGGGAGTAGCCTACAGGATCCCTTACATCTACGGCTGCTGCCAAATTAGGACAACGAAACCGAAACCGAGCTTCGGGCTTAGGGTTTAGGGTTTAGGGGTTTCGGGGTTTAGGGGTTTAGGGTTTAGGGCTTTACCCAGACCACCGGAAGGATCTAAAAAATAGATCCCCTGAGGGAGTTCCTTTAAAGTACCCTTAGTAGTTTAAGGTCCCAAATCAGGGGATCTATTTTTTAGATCCTTTCGGTGGTCTGGGTACATCTACGGGCTGCTGCCAAATTAGGACAACGAAACCGAAACCGAGCTCAGGGTTTATTTAGGGTTTAGGGTTTATAGGGTTTAGGGTTTAGGGTTTAGGGTTTAGGGTTTATAGGGTTTAGGGTTTAGGGTTTAAGGGTTTAGGGGTTTAGGGTTTCTAGACCCTAAAAAACGGGCCAGCATCATCAGCATGAGGGGAAAAGAACACATGCTGTAGGTTTATGCCATTACTAGTATTGTTGTTTCGGGAAAGGAGTTCATTTCGTACTTTCTGGGTCTAGGGCATGCTAACGTGTGAGGTAGGCCTCTGGTCCCGAGGACTCACCTCGCAGGGTTTCGGGTAGGGGTCCCTTTAAAGGGATCTGCATGCGTCGAGGGTTCTTTTGATCATGGGCTCTATAGACCATGTAACGTAAAGGCTTTAGTGTGTAGCGCTTACCTGGGGATCCAAAAACCTACTGTTTGAGGGGTTCTTATACTCTCTAAGTAAGGCCTCATAACCTACATTATTTGTAGGTTTTGGGGATACAGGTAATTGTCATGCCCCTTAGGGATCCTTATCTAACATTCTCTGAAGTCTGGGCTGTGCAGAGTTAGGTTTGTGTTTCTGTGGCGGTGCTGATCAAGCCCGAACCCAGACCACCGGAAGCATCTAAAAAAATAGATCCCCTAATTGGGGACCCTATAGTACTAAGGGTACTTTAAAGGAACCCCCTTAGGGATCTATTTTTTAGATCCTTCCGGTGGTCTGGGAAGGGTTTAGGGTTTGGGGGAAAGAAATTCACGCTCGATTTTAGGTCTGCTCCAGGCCACCAGAGCCGTGAAGCTTATATCCTACAGTTGAAGACTCAGGGTTTACGGCTTAGTGGTTGTTTAGGATCTTAAGGGTTTGAGGGCTTAAGTTTAGGTGTTTAGGACTTAGGGGTTTAGCCATTCGAGTTTAGGGTAAGATCCCTGCGATTCCTTGAACCTGTCCCCCTGGCTACTTAGTCGCCAGTTTGGGGCTGAATGGAAAGGAAATCGCGGCAGCTACCTCGATGGGTTCTGAAGCTCCGGAGAAGCCAAGGACGTACAAACTTTCATGGAATCATGGCTCCTATAATGCGCCTATGCTAGAGAACAAGATCCAAAATATATGAACAACATGTGAGTCTCTGTCTGTCTCTCTCTATTATACGCTTTTTTGTGTGTGTATATATATATGCACATAATGTGAATGTTTACAGAGAGCGAGAGAGAGAGGCAGAGAGAGAGGATTATACGTGCCTATGCTATGTACACACATAATTAGACATGATCCATGTGTATACATATCAGAATCAAGCGTGAACTGAGCATAGTTGGCTAGTTCTCTAAATTAGGGTCCCCCACATAGTACGGCGCCCTTATAACAAACAAAGACCCTAATTTGGAGAAATACCTAGGGTTTAGGGTTTAGGGGTTTTAGGGGTTTAGGGTTTAGGGTAGTTGAGAAAAGCTCGGCGCCGTCCAAGACTCCATGGGAGGTTCGACTGGATGAGTATGAGAGACCCGGAACTTCCTGCTTGTTTTGGGTTTGCGGCTTAGAAGTTAGGGGTCTAGCATTTAGAGTTTGGCAGTTAGGGGTTTAGGGGTTTGGGGGTTTAGGGTTTAGGGAATCAGGGTTCATTTGAAGGGTTTCAAGAGGGTTTGGGATTCAGAGTCTATAAGCGTCCAGGGTCTAAAGGGGTCAAAGGCGAAGGCTTTTTATGTTAGAGCTCAGGGCGTCTAGGGCTTAGGCTTCGGGCTTCTGGGATTTGCTCAGGCCTTGGTTCTAGGGTTCCTGCCCGGAAGGCGTGGCGATGTTATTAGGTTTGGAGTTTAGGATCTAGTAGGGCTTACTTAAGGATTAGGGCCTTGGCTTCGTAGCACAGAGAACTGAATCCCAAAAGATGTACAAGAAACTTCAGAAAGCATCACCCTACCCGAAACCCTCGTCCTGCGTGAGAAAACGCCCTGAACACCAAATCCTCCATTTCAAGGACCTTCCGGTCACAAGATCGCTAGAACCTACCCCTTAGGCTTCTAAGCTTGCCCTTTAGGGTTTAGGGGTTTAGGGGTTTAGGCTTCAGGGTTTTAGGGTTTAGGGTTTACCGGTTTAGGGGTGTGATTTAGTAGGGATCCTTGTTGAAACCCATATTCCCAGCTGCAAGCCCCGACGCCAGCATTTAATAACACCCACAATGTGCCCTGATAGTTATCATGGAACATAAACATACACTAAAGAGCACACAACCTAGAATCAACTCCTTACCAGTTTCGTATAAAAGCCACACATGTTACAACCATAGTTTCCTCGAGTCTTAAACCTAAACACCCTTAGACTTAAACCTCAAACTCTAAAGCACAAAGTCTAGACCCTAGAACCCGAGAATCCCTAAAGTGCGCAAACCCAAATCCTAAAGCCCCCAAGCCTAGCAAGTCCCTAAACCCTAAACCCTAAAACACAACCCTACCTGGACCCCAAAGAACCTACCTTTTTACGTTTGCTTATTATGATTTCCTTATATAAGTCCTTAAAACGGTAGGTTCTTTGGGGTCTAGGCAAGCCCTAAACAGGTCCGCCTCTCTTCATCTTCGAACTGTTCCGGATCTTCTTCTTCACCAGGAACCTAGCGGAGCTATCCCAGAGACCCCAATATCCCTTAATTAAGGAATATACCTTCAATCATATTGGGCATCCTACTATAATTTAAGGTATACTCCTTACCGAAACCCTAAACCCTAAACCCTAAACCCCTTAATGAAGGGATATAGGAGTCTCTGCCTTCGCCCCGCAGCAGTTGTAGTTGCCACCCTGTAAAACCCTGCAGCCGTTTCGGGTTTAGGGTTTTAGGGTTTAGGGTTTAGGGTTTTAGGGTTTAGGGTTTAGGGTAAGGACTATACCTTGAATCATACTAGGATCCCGAATATGACTTGAGGTGTATTCCTTAATTAAGGGATATTGGAGTCTCCTGGAAAAGGCAGAAATGATCCTCAGATCCTTGGAGCGTCTCTAGGGTTTGGAGCCTTTTGGGTTTCTTGGTTTAGGGCTTCGGTTTTCGGTCTAGAGTTTAGGGTTTAGGGTTGAGGACTTAGGGCTCTGGGGGTTTAGGGTTCAGGGTTGAGCAGTCATTCTTCGGGTTCTAGAACTCAGAGCAACTCCCCTAAACCCTCAACCCCTAACTCCTAAACCCCTAACCCCTAAACCCCCAAACCCTAAACCCTAAACCCTCAAACCCTGAACCCCTAAACCCTATCAACCCTAGACTCTTAATCCTGAGCATAAACCGTTGTGAAGGGAAGGCCTTGTGGAACAAGGTTGCGTCAACTAGGGTGTGGGGTTTAGGGTTTAGGATTTATGGTTTAGGGTTTAGGGTTTAGGGTTTAGGATTTAGGGTTTAGAGTTTAGGGTTTGCCAAAGTCATCCAAGTGGCCGAAAAACGCTCCATGAAAAGAGCAATTGGCACCTTAGCTGCTGAAGACTTCGAACTACTAGCTAAGGCTGAGGCCTTATTAATACCGGTTTAAAGGGGCAGGGTTTAGGAGTTTAGGGTTTAGGGTCTAGGGCTTAGGGTTTAGGAGTTTAGGGTTTAAGGCTAAGGGTTCCGTGCAAGGCTTCGGGCTTCTATGGTTGAGCTTCGGTGCCGCCGCGTCGCGCCTCTGTCTAACTATACCCTAACACGCTGAATAGCCCATGATCTATGGGGAGTAAACCCTAAGGGTCCGAAGGACCCAATGATAAGATACATTGGTTGTGGATAGTAGTTATCTAGGTTAACATTTGGGAGAGTATAAACCCTAAACCCTAACCCCTTAAATTCAAGTTTCTAGGTACTGGGACCCTTCGGGTAACTATAATCGACTTTGCAGTAGGTAGTGTTTGCGTCACAATAGAAGCCGCAACCATGGAGACTGACAGCTTTAATCTCCCAAACACAAGAGCCAGAAAACCCAACCTACGAACTACTCCCTGATTCATAGTAAGGAATGGGGGAATGGATCCCTATGATAGTCCCTTAAAGTCCCCTTTAGTAGTCCCAAGAAACCCATGCCTCCATTCCCTACTAAGAACCAGTCAGACTATTGTACTTGGGGGCCCGGTCGCCTAGCTGCATAGGGTTTGGCGGTTAAGGTATCAGCGCTACAGATGGGGCCTAAACCCTAAACCCTAAAGGGGCTCTTTGGGGCTTAGGGTTTAGGGTTTAGGGCTTAGGGTTCTGAACTCCCATATCTGAAGCCCTGAACACTAGCATTGATGTTCAGTCTTTGTTCGGCCTAGGCCCTAAACCCTAAACCCTAAAGGGGCTCTTTGGGGCTTAGGGTTTAGGGTTTGGGGTTTAGGGCTTAGGGTTCTGAGCTCCCATATCTGAAGCCCTGAACACTGGGATTTGATGTTCAGTTTTTGTTCGGCCTAGGCCCTAAACCCTAAACCCCTCAACCCCTAAAGCCCAAAACCAGAGCTTTCGGGCTTTAAAGACTCCTAGGCTTCGGCACCCAAAACCCTAAAACCCTAACTCCTAAATCCTATAAAGCCTAACCTCTAAACTCTAAACCCTAAAACATGAACCCTAAATCCTAAAACCTCACCTCTAAGCCCTAAACCCTAAATCCTAAAGCCTAACCTCTAAACTGTAAACCCTAAATTTCTAAACCCTAAAACCTGAACCCTAAAACCCAAACCCTAAATCCAGGGTTTAGGGTAGAGGTTGAATTTGGGCCGGAGATTAGAGCTTTGTTCTCAAAGGTCCCTGCTTCCATATGTAAGTGCGGGTGTATTTAGGGTTTAGGCTTACATGTGTGGAGCTTACGGATTAGGTTTCAGGGTTCCTGAACCCTAAACCCTAAACAGTTCACTCTGACCCCCAAACGGGCTGAATGCATAACAGCAGGCATTCAACGGATCGTAGGTCTCTCCAAGCAGCCACTCCTTCGCCGGAGGGTTAGGGCATGGCCAGGGTAGGGGCCTTTATAATTAGGGTTTAGGGTTTAGGCTGCTCTAAGAGGTTGGGAGTTAGGATTAGGGGGACCCTGGGGGATATAGACCCTCTCAATAAGGTCCCCTTTAAGAGAGCTACAAGAAGGGTTCAGAAGGGTCCCCTTTAAGGGGCCTCCCTACTACTAGCTAGGAGAGGTCTTCTGGGTGATGGTAACTATATGTATCAAGCTTGTATCAATGCTTCGGCAATAAGGGGTTCCCTTGTACCTACTTCAGGGTCAAGGCATATCAATACGATATAACCGATATAACCTTTACAGTAAACCATGGGAGTAGTTCGGTAAATTAGGAGCTCTGTTTAAGTGCGGCATGCCTATACAAGGACCCTACCCAAAAGGAACCCTAATTTAGAGAACTACCCGTGTGAAATCTTGTAACCCCCTGGGCTTTGATCTTGTTGTTGCCCTGTGGTTGTTGTCTCATCTGGGTGGAGATAGGCCACAGACCAGGACACTGTCAATCGCACGCCCTCTTGCATCCTCCTCCGAGGGACGTAGTTGCTGCACTAAACCCTAAACGCACAGGGATGAAAAGGGGCCCCTGTGGAGGGGACCTCTGTGGGTTGCACTTTTCTGAATGGGCGCGTTGCCGCCAAATGGGGCCCAATGGGCCCCATCTGTGCCCGTTAGGCAAAAGTGCAACCACAGGGGTCCCCTCCACAGGGACCCCTTACCCACTCTGTGATAAACCATAAACCCTAAACCCTAAGCCCTAAAACCCTAAACCGTTCTTCTCTTCAGCCTGCTGTGGCCTCAAAGGCAGCCTAAACAGCCTCTAGGTCTTTCAGCACATCCAGCTTCTCTTCCTGAGACAGCAATGATTCGCTTGCCAGGAAGAACCCTAAACCCTAAACCCTAAACCCTAAAACCCTAAAACTCTAAATCACCGCATGTGGAGGGGAACGCCAGCAGGCCACAAAGAGTTTCATGGCGGGGGCCCCTTCGAAAAGGGCGTTTTTTTTTAGGGTTTAGGGTTTAAGGGTTAGAGTTGCAAAAGGAGCCCCTCCAACCCTAAAACCCTAAACCCCTAAACCCTAAACCCTGAACCTTGAATCTGATATAGAACCCTGGCACTATAACCCCAGAAGTGTGGTCTGATTATTCAGGCACCTGGCGTTGACCCAACATAAGCCCTAAAACAACCCGTATACAAATTCGGGTCAAACCAACTCTGCACACCTATCCTCAAAAATCCCTACTTCATTCCATGGGTAGTCCGAAACAGAACCCTAAACCATAATTAAAGGAAAGCTTCTACAAGGTATATAGACCTTCTATAAGGCTCCTAGAACGGTAACGACCCACCTGAAATGTCCTAGACTAAACCCTGAACCCTAAACCGCAAGGCTAAGGTCAGCTGCTAAGTCCCGCGGTTGGACCTCCGGACAGAAGCTGACCACTTGCACCTATCCTGCACCATCCCCAAAACAGTTCCAAGTAGGGCTGAGGGTTTAGAATCTAAACCCTAAACCCTAAACACCCTAGTTTAGAAGCTATACTACGGGGGATTTTTACCCAAACCATACTAGTATTCCCTACTCTAGAAACCCGGAGTTCTACGATGTAGGTACTTAGGAGCCCCTTGGGTTTCTGCAGAAGATGAACCCGAAACCCGCAGAATCTGCTCTCCGGATTATCGTGGTTTAGGGTTTAAGGCGGTTTGGGTTTAGGGTTTAGGGTTTAGGGTTTAAGGCGGTTTGGGGTTTAGGGCTTAGGGGGAAAATGGGCTTACCCACTGCCCCCACACTCCTCGACGATGTGAAATGGCACAGATCCGTTTTGCAAGAGCACTTTGCCTGGGGATGAGGGTTTTAATTAATTCTTGGGAAAGACCCAAAGCCTGTAAACCCTAAACCCGGAAACCTTGAACCCTTCAACCCTAAACACCTAGACCCGAAACCCTAACCGCTAAACCCCACACATTAAACCCCAAAGCGCTAAACCCTAAATCCCTAAACCCTGAACTCCTACACCCCAAACCCCTAAAATCCTCAATCCCTAAACCCTAAACTCTTAAACCCCAAACCCCTAAACCCTAAACCCTAAACCCTCAACCCTAAACCCTAAACTCTTAAACCCTAAACCCCTAAACCGTAAACCGTTAAGCTTGAAGATTGTAAGTCTCCCAGGGCCCCCGGACGCTGGCGGCGCCGCCCCGTGGCACAGCGGGGGCCGGACTCCTTTCTCGGAGGCCGGGCCTCGCGAAGCCCGAGGTAGGTTTCGGGGGATATACATATCCATCTATCTATCGATCCATCCGTCTATCCAGCTATCCATCTATCCATCCATCTATCGATCTATCCATCTATCCATCTCTCCATCTGTCTATCTATCTATCTATCTACCTATCTATCGATCTATCTATCTATCTATCGATCTATCTATCTACTTATCTATTTATCTGTCTGTTTATCTATCTTTGTATGTATATATTTACCTATCTATCTACCTACCTATCTATCTATCTATCTATCTATCTGTCTGTCTGTCTATCTGTCTGCAGATAGATAGATGTACATTGTAATTAGCTATTTATTTTTGAGAGTTCCAATACATGCTTGGTCATGTGTTGATGACAGGATCAAGTGATGTCGGTATATATATATATACATGTACATATACATATACATGCACATATACATGTTCATATATACATATATACATATATGCATATATACATATGTACATATGTGCATATATACATATATACATATATACATATATACATGTATACATATATATACATATATATACATATATATATATAAGTATGTATGTGCATGTGTATATACATCTGCAGATGCTTGTAGGAGGTCCCAAAAGCCGGTCCCAAGCACCTCGCGGTGTGAGAGCCTCTCGGCCCTGTTGGGGCTCCGGGGCTCCGCAGCCCGCAGGTCCTCGGCAAGGGCGGCGCGGGGCTCCGGGACTTGGACCTCTCTTCTGCCAGGCCGGGTTTAGGGTTTAGGGTTTAGGGGCCTAGGGGCGGGGTTAGGGTTTAGGGTTTAGGGGCTTAGGGGCTGAGGGGCTTAGGGTTTAGGGTTTAGGGTTTAGGGGCTTAGGGTTTAGGGTCTCTTCTACCAGGCCTGGGAATGCAGGGCCTCTGCTCTCCTTGCACTCAACGCAAAGCTCTTCGAAATGCCGCAAAAAGAGCCTAAATCCCCTAAATCCCCTAAGCCCCAAACCTAAGCCCTAAGCCCCCGAAGCCTCAACCCTAAACCCCTCAAGAAATTCCCTGCAAAAAAAGAAGAGAGCTGGGTTTGTTTCATGTGTCAGGTCTGCAGCGGAGGAGGCCTGGGCGGAGTTCGGCATCGCCCTAAGCGGTTGCCGCCAGCTGGGCAGCAGAGATCTTGGGCTTGGGCTGAGGCTTTTGTGGGTTTTTGGGGCGGTTTAGGGTTGAGGGCTTAGAGGGTTTTGGGTTTAGGGGTTTAGGGGGCTTAGGGTTCAGGGCTTCATAGGGCTTTTGGGGATGTTGAAGGTTTCCGACTGGTGTTTTGTGTGAGGGCAAGGGCTTCTTCTCGGGAGTCTCCCTCGCCTTTGGGGTCGGCTCTCGGGACGTTGGGGGATCGTTTTTTGGGGCTCATCTTGGGCCGTCGTGTCTGTTGGGTTTAGGGTCTAGGGTTTGTCTGTGTGAAAGTTGGGGTGAAAGCCCCAAAGCGTTAAATGTGGACGAAGCCCTAAAAAAATGCGTCCGGTGTGTGGTCTGGTACTTACAAAAAGCCCTAAAGCTGTCTTGAGAGATTGGAGTCGGTGAGCTTCGTCTAGGGCTTAAGGGACGACTGGGGCGGTTTAGAGTTTAGGGTGTAGGCGGTTTAGGCGGTTTAGGGTTTTAGAGTTTAGGGCTAAGGGACGACGGGGGTTGCGAATTTTTTCTTTTGTGGAGGATGAAGGCCTTCAAAGCCAATCGGGTAGAGCAGGTCGAGTAGGTCGATCCGGGTTGCTGCGATCTGAGCGCTGCGACTCCCCCGAAGAGGCTTCTAGTGTTTGGTTTTGGTGCTTAGGATTGAGATGGCTTGAGGGGTTCGGTCAAGTTCAAGCCTGCGCCCTTCAAGAGGCTTGTCGGCGTTTAGAGGACGAGTCAACAACTAGATCCTTGCCGACTCCCAAAGCCTAGAACTTCCGGCCCATGCAAGGCCTGGCATCATTGAAGCTCCGGCAGAACCCTGCCATTGGCGACGTTGCTGCGGAGGCTTTTGCTCAGTCGCTTGCGAAGCCAGACTGCCGCTCGTGCCGGAACAGCCTCGACCCTACAAAACCCCAAGCCCCAGAGGCAGACTTCTGTGGAAGTCAGAGACAAGCAAGCAAGCCCAAACAAGCGCGGAGCCTTAAAGCCCCAGAAGGCTAGAAGCCTTGCAAGCCGCAACGCCCGAAACCCCAAGCCTTGTCTGCCTCGCGAGACCACCTAGCATCGTAGACCTCGGAGCTTAAAAGAGTTCGGGTTTAGGCTTCAGGAAAACTCCGGGCTGCCCGACAGTCAGGCCCCGGACAGACAACCACACAACTACAGAGCCTTTTGCCCGAACCCTAAACCCCAGACCCTAAACCCTAAACCCTAAAACATAAACCCTTACTGTACCAGCAGTTGGAGAAGGGCCAGCCAAAAAAGAACTAAACCCCATACCCTAAACGCTAACGACACGCTATAATACAGTATAAACCAATATATTAACAGTATGGTCTAATATATTAGAACACAATGCAATATAACATGTTATAATGCAAGATGATATGATATCATATGATATAGCTTAACATAATAAAAATAAAGCCTTCTAACAGAGCACCATGCCATCCAACATAACACAGTATGATGTGACATGATAGAATGTAACATAGTATAATGCAGCACAATATATAATATAGTTTAGCTTTGTATAAATCAATATATTATGCTATAATATGTTATGATATAACCTACATTCAGTAATGTAATAC